ACACCAATAATCGCTCGAGTTCTTTTTTTTCAGTTTTAGTTTTTCTTTCCAAACATGCCATTTCTTGAATCTGATCAAAAAAGAAACTTAAATTGCTGTTCTTATTTTCGGCAATCGACCTAAGTTGAAAAAATGAAACAATAGATGGATTGTCACCTATTACTTCTCTCTCAAAAAGAATATTAATTAGTAATGAAATACTTTTACACAAGGAAAAACTATTTCATTGTCTTTTTAAATTTTTTTTCCATTCTCCTGCATGTTCTTTAAAAGTACTTGTTCCATTTACCACAATTGTGTTATAACAACTCATATACATATACTCATCCTTATGATCTCTATAATACAAAGCCAGAGTTCCATTTGCTTCTGCCTTGACCAACACATTTTCCGTTATTTTTTTACATTTTTCAGTTGAAGTACCCTTACAGATCTTAACTATGCACTGTTTGCTCGAAACGTGGGTTGAACTAGCTTCTATTTCTTATAAATTATGTATAAAACTTGTTTTTAGTAAAACTTTTTAAATAGAGAGATTATTTTAGATTAATTTTAATATAAGACAGATTACTTAAGAATCTTTTACTAGCTTTCTTTTGAAAATAGACTTATTGGGTAGATTTCAAAAAATCACAAGAAAATGAAGTACTTTAAACTGTATAAAAAGTGAAAAAATTTTTTTATTAAATTGGCTAAGCCTCTGACAATCATCACCAAATTTAGGTTTGTCCACTCTGCTGAAGTAAAAGCAAATAAAAATATAAACCAGGTTGTTAAACAAATACAAGACTTAAGCATTAAATCAGAACAATAAATATCGTAAAATTGTTATATAAAAGAAGAATTGCAAGCTGCAAAACAAGAAGTTCTTATACAATCTCAAACAAGCAATTAAGATAATGAATCAACAAAAGATTCAGCAAAGGAAAATGATAGAGAGAACACAACAGCAGAAGGAAAGAAAATTAAAAAAGACAAAGAAGTTCTAATTAATAGTATTCTAAAAGATACAATCTTACAGTATCAAAAGGAATATAAAGATATTGAATCTAATATAAACAATACTTAAGCAAAAGAGAATGATTTGTCAATCTTTATAACTACTTTAAATTAAAATATTTGATTACTAAAGAATAGAATATACAAAGAAAGATAAATGTTTTTAGCAAATATGCTAATGTATAGTCTTCCAAGATAATTAGCAGAAGAAAGAGCTATGTTATGTTAAAAGAATTCTAGATAAAAATAAATACATCAAGAATATTAAAGATAAATTCAAAAACAGAAACACTTAGATAGAGGTAATCTTTAATTGTGATTATGAAAGAAACTTAGCAATTGACAGAATCAAGAGAAAAGAAGGTAACTGACTAATACTAATCCTAGAAGAAAGAAAAAATACAAAAATGAAGCAAGGAAACCAAGACAAAAAGCTAAAGAAAAGGCAGAACTCTTTCAATAGAAATGGAAGTTTTATCAAAAAAGTAGTTGACAAAGAAAAAAACAATCTAAGTTGTAATAAAAACTTTCAGAAGAAAAAGAATCAATTAACAATAAGAAGATATAATTATAAAAGATATATAAATATAGATTCCATTATAATATAGGATCTATTAGCTGATAGAAAGATTCAAGAAATCAAGTATATATATAGAAAATTAGGAAAGATAGAAAATATACAGTATATATCAAGCAAAGAAATAGCAGAGTGCTTTCAGAAATAGAATTTATTACAAAGATTGAAGTTAAAGATATATCCTGAGTTCTTTTAATAAGTAACAAGAGACTGGCTCTGAGAAAAGAAAATTATAAAGAAAGAGATTAAAAACACAAATTTGTAGCAAAACTAACTAGAATTACAGAAGATCTTTCAGAAACCCTACTCCAAAAATATTTAAAAGACAAAAAAGCAAAAGCAGTCTATATTCTCAGAAAGAGAAACAGGTTTATAAAGCAAATAGCAAAAATAACTTTTGTCATAGAGTGAGAAATGAAAGAAGTGCAAAACAAATCAGTAAGATATAATAATTTATAACTTTATTAGGTATAGAATGATTAAAGAAAAAACATAGAGAAAAAGAGTAGCTCAGAAGAAAAAGAAAGACATGACAACAGCTCAAAAAGAAGAAAGCAAACAATTAATGAAGAGGCAGTATCATCAAGAAAAAAAAGACATAATAGAAGAATATTTTTAGTAGAAGAAAAGAAACAAACTCTAGACAGAAGCAATGTTAGCTAAGAAGATGAAAAAAGATGGAGAAATAAAAAAAAAGCTCTAACAAAATAAGAGAAACAAAAAGCTCAAGTTACGAACACTTTTCAGTAAAAAGAAGTCTAGCAGCAAAAATAAAAAAATATTATACAATGTTATAAAAAATTATATGACTTCTAGAAAAACTTAGTAAGCAGCCAAAGACTGCTCAGCACTTCTAAATTTAGAAGCACCAATTAAATTAAAAAAATATAATAAAGAATTCAGACCTTTTCTATGAACAGATTTTCAAGAGAACATCAACCAAAAAAATATAAGTACTTTAAACAATACATGCAGTAGAAAAGAAAAGAAACCTATAAAAAGAGAATTGCTAGATTAAGAAAAGAACAAAAATATTATGTATATTACAAACAGAAGTCATATTGACCAAACAAAAGAACTTAACATTGCAATACATAATATTAATAATATTAAAAGCAATATCTATAAACTAGAGTTTGTATTTAAATAGATATTAGATAACAAAATAGATATTTTAAGAATTGCAAAAACAAATATTTTAAAAATCAAAAGAGAATAGCTGTCTATTATGCAATCTAAATATAGAAGTTTTTAGATAAACTCAGATCATAACAAAAAGAAAGGCTCTGGAGTTGGTTTACTAATAAATAAACAATAGAAAAAATACATAAAAAAAGTAGACAAAATAAACAAGTATATAATCTCTATAAGTTTAATGCTCAAATAGCTAAAAATTATAGTAATTGCTTTATATATCACCAAATAATAAACAAGAAAAGAAAAAGATTCAAAAAACAATTATTGAGAAATTCATCAACAGATTTTTCAGAATATATAAATGATTAGAAAAGAAAAAAGGAATAAGCTCAAAGAAAAAAAAAGAAAAAGACTCAATATAAAGAAACTGAATTCTAACAATAAAGAGAAAAAATTGATTTCAGTAGGAAAGTAGCTAAAATCAAAAAAAAGTAAAAAGAAAAAAAACAACAAAAATAAAGAAAAAGTAAAGAAAAAAGAAAATACTTGGTTTGATACTAATAAAATGAATCTATTTTGGTATAGCTTCACAGGCTAGCTTGGTGCAGCTCTTTGATGCAGGCAAAATGACTTAACTGGTGTAGCAGACTGTTTCTAGATATATATATGTATATGCTTTGATCTAATAAAGATACTAGTAAGGCTGCTAATAAAGGAAAAAAATATCACATTGGGTGTCTTTTAAATAACACAAATATAGTTTGAAAATCTTTAAATATAGATTACTTTCTACTTCATTAAATAAAGTTTCAACTATGATATTTACAAAAAAAAATTAATTTTAAATAAAATATTTAAATCTAATTTTATATACAAAAATATATCTAATTATATCTAATACAATATAGTATTTTTTATATCAAAAAATTTTTACTTTAAATTAAAATTACCTATGCTTATATAAATTTTTATATATAGTTAAACCTCTCTATAGTCACCTTTTTATAGTTATATATATTTGCTTGTAATTACAGTATATAAAATTTTAATAAAATTTATTTTATATAAACATAAACTCTCTATAAATACAAAATCTCTATAAACAAAATCTTGAAACCAAGAGAGTGATTATAAAGAGATTTGGCTATATTTATAATATATAGTTGGTATTAAAATATAATATTTATATAAAAAAATTTTTATAATATGCTTATATAAAAGAATATCTATATAGAAAGGTCTGAATACCAAATATTTAACAATAGATAAAAACCATGCAACTATGAAGAACAAAACATATCAATATTTTGTAATATAATAGAAATCACCATTCACAAAACCCAATCGATATTTTACATAGGTACCAGCTATATACGTATAATACCTGCTTTATATGATAGAACGGTTAACTTATTTTTTCAAAAAAAGATCCTCAAACTCGAGTCCAACTTTAGCATCGGTTTGTTTTTGAAAAATTTTATAATCACAAATTATTAAACATAAATTTGCAAATAGCATTTATAAATAGTGTAATTATATAAAATTAAAATAAGAAAACTAAGTATTATTTTTTGTCAAAGACTCAATCCTACAAAACTACAGTTTATGGCTTACAATTTAATTTAGTTATAAGTATCTGAGAATGATTAGGTATGCGATCTACTTTTTGATTTTGTCTAAAATGGAATCAACAAATTTACCAAAATTATCAAAAACACCATTAATAGTGGGATCATGTGTTTCGTCACCATTTCGATACTATTAAATAAAAGGTTCAGAGCCTAATACATATACAATTTATCTAAGTACCAACTAATCTTACCTTTCCAGTCTTGACTGTATAATCAGAGTATAATATACGTAAAGTTCAATATTAAAATTATTTAGGAATAATCAAAATGATGCAGCCAAGGGAAAACCAGACTTCAGATTTTTAAGTTTATAACTACTCAGTTCTTGATTAGTGACATGTATGAGGTATAATTGAATTACGTATTAAATTATAGACCAGTAATAATATATTAATATATTCTCAAATCAGATTCTTCGGATGTGTACCCGTTAAGGGACATCGTCTAAAGCCAGGTAGTTTTCAAATTGATTAAAAGTCCTGTGATACATATATAATACTACCCGACTTTAGACTAATCTCTGTTGGGGTTATAAGTTTAAAAATCCGAAGTATGGAATTCCATTAGCAGCTCTCAATATAATGTTGCATACCAAGATACCGAATTAATCCCAATTCCTTTGCACCACCTATGAAATCAAAAATTGAGATATTTCATTATGAAACAACAGTTGTGCTAAACACAATCATCACGCTACCTCCCAAGTCTTGTGTAATGTCATCACCGATCATAATAACTTGGTTTGGAGTTTCCAGAAGTCCCATGTCTTTAAGTGCAGATTCAAAAAAGGTTTTTTCCGGCTTGAGATATTTAAGAAAATTGAAGTTATTAACTCTTATTGAAATTGAACAAGATTAAATTAAAATTAAATTACTTTTCCAATAACGATTGCTTTAACCCCATCACAAGCATATTCTAATGCAGAAACAAATGGACCGGGACCTAAACTAAGACCATCTGGTTCAGCAAAATATTTGGCTTTGTGAAGAGCAATTAAAGGAGCATTTGGATCATTGATCAAGATGCGGAAAGCTTTATTAAGCTACAAGGGTAGATGATAATATTAGAAACATACTGTAAATGAGTAGACAAATGAGTGCCGCCAAGGGAAAACCTGTCATCGGACTTTCAATTATATTTTGTGTACAGTTAGCCGTCTATGAAAAATCTATCATAATGATAGATTTTCTATAGCACACAAAATATAATTGAAAGTCCGATGACAGGTTTTCCCTTGGCGGCACTCAAATGTAATAACATAATTGTAATTTTAGACCTACCGTGTCGTATTGCATATTAGACGGAGATAGACCCATTACAACAGCATTCATTGGTTCATCTACAGGGACGCCTTGGAAATCTTCCAAAGCATCACCTTCCAAGAGCAACAAGGGTCTAATGTATATAAGAGAAATGAATATAGTAGATATAGTAGATATAGTAGATATAGTAGATATAGAGAGATAGTACAATAAATCTCTAATAATCATTATCCAAATACAAGATAACCGAGTTGTCACCTGAGGTTGCGTGAGATTATCAAATTACGGCACGCACTTAACGAAGTAATTATCTTTTTGAAAATATATAAAGAATCGGTTTGAATACTGGTGGATTACAGTATACGATCAAATTTTTAAGGAAATCCAAAAAAAAAAAACCTCATTCTTATACACATCAAAACCCGAATTAATCAATTTACTTAAAATTGTTGATCGACTTTCTTTTGTTGTATTTGTACAAAAACGAAACTGTAAGATAATATTAATAGTATGAATTTATATTATTATTATTTCATTGGTTTATGATAGACACTTACTGGAATACCAGCGTCTCTGAGTTTTTCCAAACCAACAACGGCACCTTCACACGGCTAAGTTTAGAAAAGAAATCAATACTTGTCTGTGAAGTTGTAAGTTGTAAACTATATAAAATAAAATAAAATACTTAACTTTGTTTCCAATCATTAAGGTGCCCGATACATCAATAAGTATGCCGCGAATAGAATTCATTTTCATGAATTTCCAACATTTTTGAACATTTGATATATTTATAAATTTCTGTATACATGTGATCTGATTTGTGTTTGGAAAGAGTGATAGACAATTGTTTGTAAAATAAATTCATCTGCAATTTCACTATGCCTAAGATGGGATTACGTAGATAGCCCGTCAGTATTGCAGTATTTGTCGCATTCACTTTGACCTTGTCCAAAATTGGCAGGCACGTGATTTTATTGATTTTATTCATGGAATGCCACAGAATAACGTGACACTTAGGCTGAGAAGTATCTTGTATGTTCGGTCTTAGTAGAATCTGATTAAAAGGATCTGTGTTCCAAAAATTTAGAGCATGTGACTCGCTTAAGTCCAATCAATCAATAAAGCGAAAAATTTAAAGATTTAAAATTTAGATTTATTATTTGGGTTAGCATTAAGTTGGAATGGGTATATCAAAATTTTACAAGAAATTTGAGTTAAAAGCTATATATTGTGTGTATGCAAATTTTTGAATTTGGCAGATCATAAAAAAAAGAAATCACATGATTTATTATATCCAGTGTTGTTAAATTTCGTTTCCAGTGAGAACTTTTAGTCTTCCAGTGGAAATTTGTAATAGTAAAAGTTTTGTAATAGTAAAAGTGCCAGTGACATTATTAATTTGTTTCCAGTGGAGTTCCAGTGGTTTTCCAGTGGCTTCCAGTCAACAACACTAATAATTATATCGATATAAAGTCTATTAAGAAAATCAGGGGAATGAAAAAATTCATATGTCAAATTTCTACATTTAAGCACACTTTTAATTTTAGAAATCTGTCTTAGAAATTGCTCTTAAATATCGTAAATGGTTTGATTATTCCTGAGATCATTAAATTTAATCTGAGGGTCCAATGTGAGATTTAATACAACTTTTAAAAGATATATGATTTAACCATTTGCAGCGTTCAAGGGCAATTCAAGAGCAATTTCAAATTCTACGGAGTTCAAATGATTAAATTGACTGGATAATTAATTTTTGAAAAATTATTAAAACTTTGCGACATGTCGTATAACCAACCGTGTGACAAAAGCTTATCGATGAATGAGCGGTTACGTAAGTTCTTGTTGAAACGATTTGTTTGTTTATTGATAATTGCCATATTCTCTTATTATATCATTATCACGTTCACGTAATAAATACAGTAATAATAAAAGAATACGAACATTACCGGTTAACAAACATTTGACACCAACCTTTGGATTTTACGTAAAGTCAATGTAATTAATGTAACTTTAAAACTACGCCAAATTTTAATTAACTTTTAAATTAAAACTCAACAACTAATTGTTTTTAAATTTTATAACGCATAGTGCGATGCAGCATAATAATGTATAATTCCCTTGTCCGGGATGTCCTATCAATTTTACACCTCAGTTTTGTTTGTGTACAACACTGCTTTACTGCATACTGATTATCGAATTTCATTGAAGATTAGATATCTTACAGTCTTAATGTACAGTAACTGCATAGTGACTTTATAGTTACTAAATATATATTAAATTTAATATATAGTAATTACATATATAGTTACTGCATATTAAAAGTATATGTTTCTTGATCTTTTTATACATACAAAATTTCACCGTACGTATATCCATTATTCTCCATCTATCAGCTATATACTGTACGTACGTACAGTAGCCAACAAAAGTAACGCCCGATTTTTGCTCAATATGGAAATTTTTTTATTAATAAAAATTTGACCGCAC